TAAGACAGACTGAACCATAGCCATTCTGCACATGCTGTGTTTAGTGTGTATTGCTAGCGAGGTTTTTTTTCTTTTCTAGGGAGAGTGCATGTAATCAGTACAGGGCCAATCAGCACTGCCCAGACAGAGGTCAGGGGTTTTGCATCCTCCTGAAGCAGAAAGAAAACTCCTCCTACAAGCTTTAACCAGTGCTCTGCTGAACACTGATAGAAGTTGTAAGACTGCTCTAACTGCTGATGAGAAAAGGTATTTAGCAGTTTCTATTTACTAAAATAATTGCACTTCCATGTTCTATGTACTGTGGGAGACCAGATATAGTGAATGCAGGGTCCTTGGTTTAGTAACACTTTAAGCACTCTTCTGCTTAGGTTTCAGCTGGAGCGATGAATGTTCCTCATTACCAGGGTTTAAAGCCACCCTGACATGATTTGTATAGGTATAAATCACACTATAAATCAGAAGCAAATTGCTGATTGTATCTGAAGGCTGCTCTTTGTTGTCTTCTAGCGGATGTTAGGCACCTTTTTTCAATGGTAATTACTATAGGTTCAGACAACAACAGGGACAACATGTTGTATACATCTTTTGCTCCAGATAACCTCAAGGCAGACATCGGAAATGTTCAGTCCTATGTCAGAGTTTGCACGACGGGTGCCAAGGCTTACAGTGGTCAGACCTCTTCCTTGAGCTCAACATGTATGGTGTTATCCAACTGGCTTATTCACACCATATATACATTGTCAGTAGTCTTTTATGCATTTCCCAGGGAAAATACTTTTTTTAAAAATCCTGTTTTCAAGTCTTGCCACACCAGCATGTTATATAGTAGATTAATGGGGGAAAAGGGCTGCATGCTGCATTTTTTGGCTCATTATATTTCACCTTTCAAGTCAATTCATAGTTACATAGTTAATCTGGCTGAAAAAAGACAAAAGTCCATCCAGTTCAACCATAAAAATAAGTTATAATCCTATACCCACCACTGATCCAGGGGAAGGCAAAAAAAAAACCCCCAGCAAAGCATGATCCAATTTGCTCCTGCAGGGGAAAAAATTCCTTCCTGATGCCCCGAGAGGCAATCGGATATTCCCTGGATCAACTTTCCCTATAAATGTTAGTAACCAGTTATATTCTGTGTATCTAGGAAAGAGTCCTGGACTACTTTTTTTTTAAAGCAATCCACTGAGCTGTCCAGAACCAACTCTTGAGGGAGTCTATTCCACATTTTCACAGCTCTTACTGTGAAGAAACCTTTCCGTGTCTGGAGATTACATTTCTTTTCCTCCAGACGTAAAGAGTGCCCCCTTGTCCTCTGTGATAACCTCAATGTGAATAACTGATGTATTTATACATGTTGTTCATATCCCCCCTTAATCTCCTCTTCTCTAGAGAGAATAAATTCAGTTCCTCTAATCTTTCCTCATAGTTGATCCCCTTCATGCCTCTTATCAGTTTGCTTGCCCTTCTCTGTACACTCTCCATTTCCCAATGTTTTTTTTGTGAATTGGTGCCCAAAACTGAACTGCATATTCCAGATGAGGTATTACTAATGATTTGTACAGAGGTAAAATGATATCTCTCTGGAGTCTATACCTCTTTTAATACAAGAGAGGATTTTTCTCACTTTAGAACCGCAGCTTGGCATTGCATGCCATTATTAAGCTTGTGATCTACCAGATCCTTCTCCACCATCGATTCCCCCAGTTGTACTCCCCCTAGTATGTAGGATGCATGCATATTCGTATTGAAGCATCTAAAACACGTCATTACACATCAATGCAACACTAATCAGACTCATTTTATAAATCTTTTCTACAAGGTCAAGGATCTTTATTTTCACCATGTGAGTTTAATTTTCAAATCTCCTTGGACTCGGGTGAAAATAACTTGTCATTTATTAGCATCCTGTATATCTCTGCACATGAACATAAGTTGTGTTTATAGTATAAGCAAGCAGCATTTTAGTGCACCCTAGAAATGTGAAAGCTTTCCTATTCTTCACATGCAGCTCCCCTGGTTTGTAGCTTGTTCCATGATATATACTAATGTTTATTTTTTCTAGTAAAACATGTTTATTTTTGTATTTTGCATTAATATAGCAAGAAACAAACACACACGCAGTTATGATAATCTAAAATAAAATGTTATTATAAACTTGTTATTTTAACTTTTATCTACAGGTAAGCTTCTAATAAAGCTTACCTGTAGGTAAAATGAGTATCTCCTAAATGTGCACCGTTTGGGAGATATTCTCTCTTTTTTTAAAGCCGGGGCATGTGCTCTGATGGAACGGCATTCCTGTGCCATTCCTTCACAGCATTGTGCCGTGGACTGGAACTCCCGCGCATCGCGGCCCGACCCGTCAAACGGCCGGAGCTCGTGAACCCGGAAGGAAGACCGGGTGTAGATGAAAGCCTTTGCAGCGTTGACAGCGCGCAGCTGGAGGGCTTCGTTTTAAGGTAAGTTTTATATAATGTGCTAGTATGCGATGCAGACTAGCACATTATAACATTATCGTGCAGGGAATTTTTTTTTTTTCTTATGCAGTTCACTACCACTTTAAAGCCTATCTCTGAGCAAAAGAAAAATCCTCCTTTGCAGTGGGGCTGCCCACTGCATTGCAAGGGGTAAGTATTCGGTTATGTCTGGGGGACTAGGAAAAGCAGTTTTACTTATCTGGTTCCCCACTTCCCTATCACACTTCAACTTGCGGGCTGTCACTTGGCTTTCTCACATCCAGTAAAAGGCTATGAACCCTGCATTGTACTTGATGACATCAGAAGATCTGCGAACGCTGGAGCGTAGGGAAGAGGCTGAAGAGCTGTCCTTAGAGCATGCAGTGCTTATGAACTGCCTTTCAGTGTTCTCATGTCCAATGCAGGGAATCTAAGCTGTACTTGATGATGTCGGAGAACCTATGACTGACAGAGATTAGGGAAGAAGAACTTGTGGGTGTCTTACACCCTGGAGTGCTTATGACATATCTCTCAGCATCCTCACATCCAATGCAGCACTATGGGCTCTACACTGTACTTGATGTCATAGGACCAATGACTGCCAGAACTTAGGGAAGAAGAACTTGTGAGTGTCTTACACTCTGGAGTGCTTATGACTTGTCTCTCTGCATCCTCACATCCAATGCAGGGTTATGAGCTCTACACTGTATTTCATGATGTCAGAGAACCTTTGACTGGTGGAGTGTATGGAAAAAAAATATGTAGGTACTAGTCTGACAGCCTGGAGTGTGTGTGACTTGTCTATCTGCATCCCCATTGCCAGTGAAGTGCTATCAGTCCTGCATTGCAGTTGATAATGTCAGAATACCTGCACCTGCTGGAATGCAGGGAAGAAGAGTCTACAGGTACCAGCCTTACAACCTGTAGTGCTTGTAAATTGTTGCCGGTCTTCCCGTCTGTCAATAAAAGACTAGGGCCTCAACATCATACTTAATGACATCAGAGGACCTGCAAAGGAAAGTGGAAAGGTAGTGCTGGACTAATAACGTCAATACTTTAAGATAGCAAAATCAGTAGGACAATCTTACTAGATTTTGCTATCTTAAAGTATCAATGTTGATGTAAATAATCTGGTTCTACACCCCAGAGGATATCCATGGTCTCTTGTGACTTGTAGTGTAATGTAACAAAAATGAAAATTGAAGCCACACCATTGCTAAGAGGTCCAGTAAGCCTTTATGCCAAATAAAAGTCAGGTGGACAATCCAAAAACCCCTTTCACACTTAAGGTTCGACCAGGTCCATCTGTCAGTTTTCCAGACGGACTCAATCGGACCATCCATAGGTCTTTATGGTATCTGATTTTATCCTGTCTGCTAAAAACAGAGGGATGGGGATCCATTCCCCATCCCTCCTGTGGATCGGATGACAGTCAGATGGAAATGGACAGGTGGTCTGTTTCCATCTGACCGTATCATAGAAAACAGCAGGCTGTGCCTGCAAATCTGCCTGTCCAGTGGGGATCAGCGGAGAGATCTCAGGTGGATCCGCTTGACTGGGTCCATCTGAAATGGGCCAAAGAGTAGTCAACACATACCCGCTTCATCAGGGCTAGAAAAAACATAAGGATATCTCCATACCAGTAAAATATCCCCTACTCAGAGTCATAGTTAAAACCAATTACCAATAGTATTGGATGTATAAAAATTTATGTTAGGTAGCATTGAGTAAAAATCTCTGTCAGTCATAGGTTCTCCGACATCATCAAGAACCTCACATTTGTCTTCGGTTCTTGACCTTTATTGAAATAAAGTTGTATCTGGGCATCTCAGCAGTTGTTTGGCACTGCAATTTCCATTGTTGTTACATCAGAGTACCTGTGACTACTGAAGAGTAGGGTTGATGAGACTTTTGGCACCAGTCTACCAGCCTTGAATGCTTATGAACTCTCAGCGTCGTCATGTCCAATGATGTCAGAAAACTGGTGACTGTCTGACTGGATAGGAGAAGACCCTGTGGGTACTAGTCTTGCAGTCTGAAAGGCTCTCAGCTTCCTCATGTCCAATGAAAGACTATGGTCCCTGCATTGTCCTTGATGATGTCTGAGGACCTGCAACTGCTGGGGCATAATAGAGAATAGTCGGGAGTGCTTGTAAACTGTCTCTGGCTGTTCTTGTGTCCAATGCAGTGCTACTATTACTGCATAGTACTTGATGACATCAGGAGACCTATAACTGCTGGAGCAAACAGGAGAAGAACCTGTTGGTGCTGGTCTTGCAGCCTGGCATGCTTGTGAACTGTTTCTCGATGTCCCCACATCCAATACAGTGCTACGGTCCCTGCATCGTACTTAAAGATGTAAGAGGACCTGAGACTGCCAAAGCACAGAGGAGAACAGTCTGTGGGTTCTTTTTTTTTTTACCTGAAGGCTCAGGTAAGTAAAAGTGCTTTTTCCAGTTCTCTAGCTCTAACCCAGTATGTAACCCTTGCATTACAAAGCAGTGTTGTGAATGTTGAGTTCAGCTTTAAATTGATTAATTCTCCCTAGGTGATCCCTGCACCTCCTTGAACACAAGTGAATACCAGTGTTGAACGTACAAACAATGACATTTGAGGTACCCCGGGAGTAATAAAGGGTTGTCCCCCGACTGTTTGTGTGTTCCTCCTTACCTTGATGAGTTTGCACCTGATCTGTGCAGACACCATATGACTGTTCCTGAGGTTGCCCACTCTGAACATCAGACACAACTTGCCATCACGCTGGGAGATGACCGCATTCTGGCTAAACATGAGGGTCTCAGCTCTCTTCTTGGGTTGTGACATCTTGATGAACATGCAGCCTATGAGGAAAGCATCCACAATGGAGCCCAGCAGAGACTGGAACAAGAAGAGGATGATGCCCTCAGGACACTTCTCAGTGATGTACCTGAAGCCATATCCGATGGTGGCCTCTGTCTCTATGAAGAAGAGGAAGGCTGAGGGGAAGTTATAGACATTGGCCACACATGGGGTGTAGGTGTCATCATGAGCCCTGTTTAGATCCCCTCGGATGTAGGCAATGATCCACCACATGGAAGCCATCACCAGCCACGCCACGGTATAGGTGAGGATGAAGATCAGCAGATTCCACCTCCATTTCAGGTCCACCAAGGTGGTGAAGAGGTCGGACAAGTATCTGCTGGTCTCTCCTCCTAGGTTCCCATGCTGGACATTGCACCGGCCATTCTTGTCTACAAACCTCTGCCGTTTCCTTTTAACGGAAGGGAAGAACCCACCTCCTACAGTGGTGGTGACAACGTGGTACTCCTCACCGAATTTCCTCCTCAAAGCAGACATCTTTTAATGTTCGGGAAGTCCAGCTGGGTGGGAAAAGTTTCTTTATCCTTGGGTCAGCCCTGTAGGCGCTCCTGATGGCTGTGCATGTCTCCGAGGTGCTGGCATTCAGCTGCCGGCCAGTGACTTGTACGGGGACCGTCTAGTTGCAGCGCTGGGTGCTGTGTGCACGGAATCGGAGCGCTGGCCGCTGTGTGCACGGAATAGGAAGACTCCGCTCCCCTACGTGTTCGGTGTCACCGCCAATCATCGGAGCCGTCCTACCCGCTCACAACCATGAGGTGGCGCCCGAGGCCCAGCCAGAAGAAGACACTGCAAAAAAAATGGTTCGAAAAAAAAAGCTGGAGCACATTACAATAGAATTGTTTCTGTATATCGAGTCATCAATGAGGCTCCCATTCTAGATTGTCTCTATCAATACAAGGCTGCTCATTTTCTGCTGCGTCTACCTGCTGATGGATAAACAGAATCCCATCTCTTATTTATTTACAGCTATGATCACAGAGCATGTCTTTATGGTGTATCTTCCAATGATGTTTGGTTATATGTCACACATGTCAAGAGATTGTAGTGCAAACAGCGTTGTCTGTGATCCCAGCTCATCACTATGCACAAGGAGCTGAGGCTGGGGATGAGAGCTATGATGATCCAGGACAGGGAAGATCTATACTGATTATTACCTGGGTCACATTAGGGCCAGACATAAGTGTCCTGTACACATCGCAAACCAGGGAGAGGATCCCAACATACACACACACTATAGCAGGGTTTTTCAACCAGGGTTCCTCCAGAGGTTGCTAGGGGTTCCTTGAGCAATCAGCAATTTCTCCCTCTCAGATAAGTCCCCACCAATACCACTGAGATTTTTCGCTATCTGTAAGGGGTAATTCTTCCCAATGACCACAAGTGTATGGAGCATTCTTCCCACTGACCATCACACTAATGTATCATGAGTTATAGATATATTTTTTAGCAGGGGTTCCCTTAGTCCAGAAAGTTATTTCAACGGTTCCTCTGTGTCAAAAAGGTTGAGAAAGTCTGCAATAATGTATCATGACATTAGAAACTAAGACAATCAATGTTTAAACATTGAAAAAAGATATAAGTCAATCCAGTTCAACAATAAAAAAAAAAAGTTATAATCCTACACCCACAGTTGATCCAGAGGAAGGCAAAAAAAAAAACCCAGCAAAGCATGATCCAGTTTGCTCCTGCAGAGGAAAAAATTCCTTCCTGATCCCCTGTGAGGGAATAGGATATTCCCTGGATCAACTTTACCTATAAACAGTATAAACACAATATGGAAACAGTGACAATGCCCATAACAAATAATTTGACTGGTTTACACTTACAAAAGTCAACACAGCATGACAAATTATCAGCCCCTGATATCTATAGACAGTTGTAAAAATTTACTGATTTATTCAAACTGTTCATAAATTTTCTGATGGTTGGCAACTCTAAAGCTAGGTCCTAGGCTTTAATGCAATAACTGCAAGGTAATTGTCAACTCTTGACTAGGCAGGATAACAGGTACTCTGAGGCTACGTTCACACTAGCGTTGTGTGCAGTCGGCAGAGAGGCATTTGGGAAGCATTTTTACTGCTTCCCAAACGCCTCTGGCAATTCTGCACATTGCAGCATATAGTGCTGTTCTAACGGGAGCGGTAGCATCGTGTTGCGGTGTGGCAAAACGGACGCCTCTGGACAAGTCAGGAGGCGTTGAAGCCTCCTATTCTTGTCTATGGTGCCGCTCGTTTGCGGTGCGGTTGCGGAGCGGTAACACCATTCAAACTTCATTCTAGGTGTTTGTGGGGCGTTTTTAACGCTCAGAAAATGCCTAGCAACCGCCGCTAAACTGTACATGTGGCGTTAAAAAAACGCTCTGCAAACTCCGGACCAACGCTTGCCAAATGCTGTAGGGGCGTTTGGCAAGCGTTGGTAAAACAGTCAAGTGTGAACGAGCCCTAATGCAGTCTTTAAAGTAAGTCTTCAGCTGGCCACTGGAGCTCTTGAAGACGTTGGCATGGTGGGGGGGGGTTAGTTTCTGCAACAAGAAAATGGGTTGAAGAACACTAATTTCGTAAGGACACTGGGTGGAGAGGTATCCAGGAAGGGAGTCATTGTTAGAGGTATGACAGTAGATATCTCTCAGATGTACAGGGATACGGTTTTGAGCAGCAGGATAGTTGCAGAAAGTTAGGGATGATAGGGATAGCGCAGTAAGGCCTTCCAATGGATTTCACTATAGGGTTTGCCAATATGTAACAAAGGTTTATTATCCACTCATCAACTCCAAAATACTGGTAGTAGAAGGTTTCCTTTAGAAGGTTTCCTTTAGTGATGGGAAAGGTCCCCCTTTAAGATGGGAATGATTTCAGATGAGCTTCTGAAGCAATCAGACAGCGGTAGCTCTGCAATGCAGCTGCAACCTTTAGCAAGGATTGTCGGCATCACAGCAGAAATCAGTACGTCTGGATCTCAGGCAGCTCCAGAATGAGGCCTCAGGATGACTCTCCAAGCTCCAGTGGACTCAGACTGGACTTGGCAGATTGCAGCAGTTTTCTAATTTCTCCAGAACTGGCAGACACTGTCTCTCATGTAATACACAGTCTTTCAGTGTATCTTCCAACCTATCTCTTTCCCAGACAGGACCTTCCCTTCTCCACACAATGATGTCCCCTCTCCACTGACCCCTGGTTTCCTGGGCTTTTGATTTATATGACCCCCCCTGCACACAGGCATGCTGGATTTTGCAGTGTCCTGTGTCTCTGGTGGTAGTGGAGGTCCTGCTGGCTGGGACTACATTTTCGATCATGCAGTGCTCTAAATAGAGTCCACAAAGCTCCATCTTGTAACAGAAAAAGGAAACTTCTTGTAAGAATGTTCATTACAACAAAGCATATTTCAGTTACAATGGGTCCTGTTACACATACTAAGAAGCACTGACAAACTAATACGCAGCACCAACTATTCCGTTCTGACAGCTGGCACACGCAACTGTCAGAATACCCAAACATTGGCTGCATCTGATTGGACACTGATGCTGTTCAAACAAGAATTTTCTGCCCAGCTCCTTTAACAAAAGTCAATCGGAAAATCACTATTTGTTGACCTGGGTTGGTACCAAAAAGGTCACCCATGTAAAGAATTTCAGCTGATTCAGCAGGAATTGAGTAAAATATGATCTGTGTATGGCCAGTTTTAAGCTGATTTTAAGCTGATTATGTGTATACACACCAATCAGCCATAATTTTATGACCACTGACAGGTAAAGTGGATAACATTAATAATCTCATTACATTGGCATCCGAAAGTCAGTGGGATATATTAGGCAGCAAGTGAACATGTTCTCCCTGAAGTTTATGTGTTGAAAGCAGAAAAAATGGGCACCAGAGATTGTTGTGTATGGTGCAGCATACCCGCAGACCAATCAGGGTACCCCTGCTGACCAGTGCTTATGCATATGGGGAGCGAAGACTGGTAGTCCAATCCAATAGAAGAGCTACTGTAGCTCAAATTGCTGAACAAGTTAATGCTGATTCCAATAGAAATGTGTCAAAACACACAGAGTATCACAGTTTGTTCTGTATGGGGCTGTGTTACCACAGACTGGTCAGGGTGCCCGTGCTGGCCTATGTACACAACCAAAAGAACCTACAATGGGCACATAAGCATCAGAATGAGACCATGGAGTAATGGAAGAAGGTGACCTGGTCTGATGAATTGCATTTTCTTTTACATCATGTGGATAGCAGGGTGCATGTGTGTCACTTTCCTGGGAAATAGATGACATCAGGATGCAGTATCGGAAGAAGTCAAGCCAGCAGAGGCAGTAGGACACTTTGGGCAATGTTTTGCTGGGAAACCTTGGGTCCTGCTGTTCATGTGGATGTTACTTGACATGTACCACCTGTCTAAACATTGTTGGTGACCATGTACACCCCATCATGGAAACAGTATTCTCTGATGGAAGTGGCCCCTTTCAGCAGGATAATGCCTGCCACGCTGTAAAAATGGTTCAAGAATGGTTTGAGGAACACAACAACAAGTTTGGAGTGTGGATTTGCCTTCTGAATTTTCCAGATCTCAATCCAATTGAGCATCTTGGAGATGTGCTGGAAAAACAAGTCCAATCCATGGAGGCCCCACTTCACAACTTACAGGAGTTAAAGGATCTGCTACAGACGAATACCACAGCATACCTTCAGAGGTCTAGTGGTGTAGATGCTACGATGGGCCAGGGCTGTTTTGACGGCAAAAGGGGACCTAGTCAGTGCTAAGTGGGTGGTCATAATGTACATACATAAAAATGGATTGATTTACTAAAGGCAAAAAAAGCTGTTCATTTTGCAAGGGCATTGTCTCCATAGGTTAGTGAATGAGGTGGATCTCTGCTGACTTCAGTCATCCAATCATGTGCCAGCAAAGATGTATTTTAATTTTCCTTTCACATGACTTGGTATTCTTGGCAAAGTGAAGCTTTGCCACATTCACTAAGCTTTGTCCAAATATCTGAACAGCAGATGCATCTGATTGAATTTAGACACTGTTTGCCCAACAATTTTACAACCAGCTCCTTCAATTATTCAATCAGCTTATCTCTGCACCCCTGCTCTTTAATGTGAATTTAACAATTGCATTGCAGGGCAGTGCACTTCTAGGATAGATTTCAGGGTTGATTTACTATAGGAAAATAAATGGTGCACCTTGCAAGTATCCCCAGATCTTAGTGATTGTGGTGGTGAAGCTTCAATAAACAAAAACATTATTTGTGCTTGCACCTGATCGGATGATGGAAATCCATGGAGCTTCCCCTCATTGACTAAGCTTTGGGCAAATGGGTGCAACTGCACTTGCAAAGTGCACAGTCCATTTGCCTTTAGTAAATCCACCCATAGCTCAGTTCTGAAAAATGCATCAAATCTCTATGCAGATGATGGTCCTCATAGAGCATTAGTATAATCATTGTGCAAATGAATCTTGATATTCACTTCACATTG